AAAAAAAAAAAAAAAAAAAAAAAAAGGCTTGGGCTGGGGATTTGGCTCAGTGGTTCCAGCGCCTGCCTTGCAAGCACAAGAGCCCAAGTTCAATCCCCAGGCTCCATTTCTTTGATTAACTGCATCCTCCAGGGCGCATCCTTTCCCTCCTCTGAGGTCATCATCACTGTCAAATTTATGGTTTTCCTGCCTCAGCCTCGCCAGTGCTGGGATTTATAGGTGTGCACCACCACACCTGGTTTCAAGCCTCTTTTTGTTTCTTTGTGTGTGTTTTTTTTTTTTTTTTTTTTTTTTTTTTTGTTTGGGGGTGGGGCGTTTGTGTTCGCTTTGTCAGGGATCGGAACTTGTGTCCTACGCTTGCAAGGCAGGCATTGGAACCACTGGACCAAATCCCCGGCCCTGTGTGCGCTTGTTTCTGAGATAGGGTCTCAATCTGCGGCTCAAACTGGCCTCAAACTCATTGCAATCCTCCTGCCTCAGCCTCCCAAGTGCTGGGATTATAAGAATGAGCCACTGTGCCTGGAACGTCAAGTCTCTTTTATGGGGTTACTAAAGCCTTGCCTGTACCCACAGCCTTGATGACCTACTCACCTCTAACAGGACATAAATTTGGGGGTAATACACAGCATAGGAGCGTATGGCACGGGAGCCAGGCTAAGCACACAGTAGCTTCTCAGATGTTAGCCGCTGGCCATTTACTTGAAGCCCCCACCCTGCCTGTATCTGTCCTCCCCGAGGAGGGTGGCTTCTGTCCTTGCCACCCTGTGGCCAGTGCTGTCAGTGCAGCTTTTTCAGCGAGGTCAGAGTTTGAGCTCAGTCCTTCCTGACTTACAGGCAGGTGGAGGAGGCCACACAGGCTCAGCCCACTATGGAGGTCAGTGCCTGGCTCCTAGCGAGGCCTGCTCTCATTTCTTTTGGAGCAGCGAGTACAGGCCCTAGGACCTATTTCTAATGGCATAAATGAGGGTGTTTGGAGAGTCCAATGCCATTTTATCTGTTTTCTCTTTGGATATAGAATCAGCAGCAAACAGTAGAAGATGCAGTGTCATAATCATGTGTCAGGGCCGGGTGTGGTGGCGCACACCTGTAATCCCAGCACTCAAGGAGGCTGAGGCAGGAGGGTGGAGAGTTTGAGGTCAGCCTGGGCTACATAGTGGGATCCTGACTCTAAAAACCAAACACATGCTTATCTTAGAGCAATAACCCTTTCTGGTATCCCATGGTTTCCAAGAGTCACGCATCCATAGTGGCCTAGCTGTGTGGCCCGGCACAGGATCTCCTGCTCTTGGCATCCTGATGCCAGCCAGTGCCCTGTCACCTGAAGCCACAACTAGGCTCCTGTCACCTGTGCACCTCTACAGGATGACTACTTGTGGGTCCCCACCTCATGGCAGTGTGGGAAGGGTTGACACCTCCTGGACACTTGTCAGGGAGAAGCGAGAATCACCACAGCCACGTCTGATCTTGCCACGGTCTTGGTAGTTTCAGTGCACTCTGAGATTGTAAATGGCTTGGCCTTCAAAATTAGCCGCAGCTGTGACCTCTGTCCCTGCAGTAAAAGCCACTCTTCCCTGTCTGTGCCTGGGGCAGGGTACACTGGCTCACTGGGCAGGAATAACAGGAAGATAAAGGCAGCTGCAGAGTTAGCAGGAACAATGATTTCTCTCCAGGATATGCTTCCTTACTTGTGGGAACTCTGTTCTGTAAAATCATAAACTGTTAGAAATTCTATCAGTAAAAATAAAATGTTTTCCAGGTGTGGTAGTGCATGCCCATAATCGCAGCACCTGGGAGGTTGAGGCAAGAGGATTGCTGCACGTTCAAGGCCAGCCTGGGCTATATAGGGAGTTCAAAGCCAGCCTGAACTATATAGTGAGACCCTGTCACAAAAACAACAAAGAATGAAACCAGATTCGACTGCCTGTTCTGGAGTAACAGAATGTGGCAGGAGTTACATTACTTCCTTCCAAGGGTAGTGGCCCCTGTGCTCTGCACTTTTATTTTTTCCATATCAGGAATGGAACTGAGGACCTTGTGCTTGTGAGGCAGCGCCACTGAGCTAAATCCCCAGCCCATAGGTGCCAGTTCTTAAACGTCCCAGCACCTCTTAACCACCATGCCCAGGACCAGGGTTCCCATGAACCTTTGGCCCAAACCATGGAGATCCCCTCTTCAGTTTCCAGGTCACACCGATCATTCAGAGTCTGGAGTAAATCCCTGCTCTAGAATTTCTGTCTGGACCTCAGGGACAGACTGCGCCTGTGCTCTGCGTGCTCCTCAGTGCCCAAGCATGCAATTATCAAAAATCTCTTCTGGGACTGCAAAAAAAAAAGAATAAATAATCCTTTTCTTTTTTTTTTTTTTTGGTACTGGCAATTGAAAATAATCCATTTTGAAAGACTGCCACAGATCAAGCAGTGTGCTGCTATTGAGGAACTCAGAACAATTTATCGCAATTCTCATGGGAATTTGAGGCAGACAAAAGACCAACATTTAATTAAAACATTGCACATGGAATTAATTATAATGCTGAGAAGTGTTATAAATCTTGGTGTGATGAGAACTCTTTCAACAGCAGGCCCAAGTCAAAGAGCTTTCTGCCACCCAGGTCTGAAAGAGACATCTAACTCCTTCTGGGACAGACCCAAGCTTGTCACCTGCCAGCTTTACAAATCAGTTTAACTCACTCATGTTTTCTTTCTATGGTGAGATATGACCTTTTCATTGTTATTGTTGTTTTATGTTTTTTTGAGACAGGGTCTCATTGTCCTTGTTAAGCTTGGCCTTGAACTCACTATGTAGCCCAGGTTGGCCTCAAACTCAGAGCGATCCTCCTGCTTCAGCCTCCCAGGTGTTAGAATTACAGGTGTGCACTACCACGACCAGCTGGGTTTTTTTGTTTGTTTTTCGTACCGGGTCAAACTCGGGTCCTTGCGCTTGCAGAGGCAGGCAGTAGCACCACTGAGCTAACCCCAGCCCTGCCAGTTTTCGAATTTTGCATTTCCCCTCCCTTTTTTTTTTCTTCCCTGTGATACTAGGAATTGAGCCCAGGGCCCTTGTTTTGAATTTTCTATTTTGAGACATGATGTTGCTAAGTAACTAAACTACCCAGGCTGAGGTCGAATTTGCCATTCTCCTGCTTCAGCCTCCTGAGTGCTAGGATCAGAGTGCTAGGATTACAGGCGAGCACCACTAAACTGCATTCCATTTTCAGGCACTCACAGGCCTCAACCATCCGAAACCTCTTTCCCGATGTACACTGCTCTGGTTTCTGAGCCTTTGCACTTGCTGGTCTTCTGCGTGGGGGAGGCTCGAACTCTGCCGAAAATTTAAAAGTTGGAAATCAATAAGTGAACGGATGGATGGATGGATGGAAGGATGGGACGGAGGCTATTTGAAAAGGTGTCGGGCGGATCGGTACCACGGCCAGCTCTTCGGGG